TGTGATTGGCTGATTAGAAATTAAGTGTTAACGAGCAGTTGGACAGGTGTACCTAATAAAGTGGCCTGTGAGTGTAGATGACTGATGGGCTGATGAGCTAATGGCTAGTCTGAACACAGCTCAGACCAAAGAGTTTTAAAAACTTAAATAGCAGCAGCAGTTAGCTGTAGCACTTCCAGCATGAATACCTGAATATTTCTGCAGAAATGAGCGTACGGTGTGAGATAACGTCGGTGTAAAGGTTTATAAGAGTTCATCTGAACTTTGATCAGACTAGCCTCCAGTTTTTTGTTTCTGTAGAAGTTTCTGAAGGGGAAACYATCTTAATCAAAGTGTAGTTGTATTCACCTGGACGGAGTGCAGGTAGAGAACGAGCTGAGGTGTTTCATGACATCATTCAGCTTGTGTCGCTGCAGGAACAAGAAGCTGAGCAGGAAGTGTGAAATGTTGCTGCTGGAGGTGAGAAACCGAGCTGTTTGACCCGCCGGGTCGCTCCAAATGTGTCGATCAACAAGCTGCTCCAGATTTAGATCTGTGGCCTCGCTGCATAATAACTCCATCTGTTCCCCCCGAGGTTCTGATCCACCTTCTGATCCCTCTCAGTTCCCATCCCGTCCAAGCTCAACGGCTCCTCCATGTCGGTGCTGGCCTTCGCTAAGGACGGACTGGGCGTGGGCGCCGTGTCCAACCCGGCCGAGGTCTTCTGCTCCGTTCCAGGTCGGCTGTCCCTGCTCAGCTCCACCTCCAAGTACAAGGTGACTGTGGGGGAGGTGCAGCGCCGCCTGTCCCCCCCTGAGTGCCTCAACGCCTCCCTGCTGGGTGGAGTCCTGCGCAGGTGAGGAGGAAGGGGCGGGGCTTTGCTTAGGCTTGAAGTTAGTCACAATTTCTGTTTTTTTACAAACAAAAAACTAAGTTTGATAAAAAAAAAAGACTGTTCAGAGCAATAACTGTACGGACATATGACCAGGTGTGTTACAGATTAACTCAGACCAGGTGTGTTACAGATTAACTCAGACCAGGTGTGTTACAGATTAACTCAGACCAGGTGTGTTACAGATTAACTCAGACCAGGTGTGTTACAGATTAACTCAAACCAAAACAAAGAAAGAAGTAAGAGGAAACCAAAATATTCCTTCAAAATGAAACAATCACAAAATTCAAACTGCTGATAAAAACAGTAGAAACTAAATGAGGAACATTTCTGCTCCATGGCACAAATGAAGAAGGAATCAGAGGATGTGGCACACACACACACACACACACACACACTGTGTGCTCAGCGTGTGTGTCCTCCCTCAGGGCCAAGTCAAAGAATGGTGGCCGCTGTCTCAGGGAACGTCTGGAGAAGATCGGCCTCAACCTGCCCGCTGGGCGACGCAAGGCGGCTAACGTCACTCTGCTCACATCCCTGGTGGAGGGTAGGCATGCACACACACACACACACACACACACACACACACACTTTGACACAGTAAGAGATAAACTGATGTTTGACTCCTCCCCCTCCTGCAGGTGAGGCCGTGCACCTGGCACGAGACTTTGGTTACGTTTGTGAGACAGAGTTTCCAGCCAGAGCTACAGCAGAGTACCTGTGCAGGCAGAGTGATCCGGACCAGCTGCCAACCAGACGCAGCATGCTGCTGGCAACCAAGTGAGTGGGAACCCCACCACAAGACCACCTTAAGGGGGGGTGGATGGATGGAAGATGGATGGATGGATGATAGATGATAGATGATGGATAGATGATGGATGGATGGATGATGGATGATAGATGATGGATGGATGATAGATGATGGATAGATGATGGTTGGATGGATGAAGGATGATAGATGATGGATGGATGATGGATAGACGATGGTTGGATGGATGATGGATGATAGATGATGGATGGATGATGGATAGATGATGGATGGATGGATGGATGGATGATGGATAGATGATGGATGGATGATGGATGATGCATAGATGATGGATGGATGATGGATGATTGATGGATGGATGATGGATGGATGATGGATGGATGATAGATGATGGTTGGATGATGGATGGATGATAGATGGATGATAGATGATGGATGGATGATAGATGATGGTTGGATGATGGATGGATGATAGATGGATGATAGATGATGGATGGATGATAGATGATGGATAGATGATGGTTGGATGGATGAAGGATGATAGATGATGGATGGATGATGGATAGACGATGGTTGGATGGATGATGGATGATAGATGATGGATGGATGATGGATAGATGATGGATGGATGATGGATGATGCATAGATGATGGATGGATGATGGATGATTGATGGATGGATGATGGATGGATGATGGATGGATGATGGATGGATGGATGATAGATGATGGTTGGATGATGGATGGATGATAGATGGATGATAGATGATGGATGGATGATAGATGATGGTTGGATGATGATGGATCATTGACAGATAAATCATCCAGTCCTCATGTCTTTGACAGTCAAACCATGATGTCCTCTTGTCCTCTTCTTGTCCTCCGTCCACTCCTGCTCTCAGGGAGATCTGTAAGGAGTTCCTGGACCTGATGTCTCAGGACCGGTCCCCCCTGGGAGGCAGTCGGCCCACCCCCTGCCTGGAGCCCAGCATCCAGGGGAGCCTGACCCACTTCAGCCTCCTGACCCACGGCTTCGGCACGCCGGCCATCTGCGCGGCGCTGTCCGCCTTCCAGAGCTACCTGCTGGAGGCCGTGAAGATGCTGGACAAAGGTGAGGGCGGAGCAAAGACCCACCACGACAAGGAGATGAAGCACCGCAAATAAGCTCCGCCCCCTGGGGGAAATCTGAGACTTTACCTCTCACAAGCCCCGCCCACCCTCCAAAAGGAGGCGGGGCTTAAGATATCGGTACTGAAAGGAACACCTGACAACGCATGGACCTCTGTCCTCCTGTCTGTGACACACACACACACACACACACACACACACACACCTGGAGCCATATCACCTGGTCTGGACTCTGCAGCAGGTGCTCATGGCAGTTGTGTCAGTGAGGAGACGCCAGCGGCAGCTACAACAGATTTATTTTAACTTATTTTAATTGTTGTTAATTTAAAAAACATTTTGTACTTTTGTGTGTTTATTCTTATTGTTATTGTGATACAGCATAAATGTAATATATTATTAAAGAATTAAGCTCATTTTTCTTCTTCAAACAGGAAGTCTGCAGCTACAGGTTTGTTTTAGACTGAAACAGGAGAAGGTTCCAGCTGCTGTTGGTTGAACCGGTTCTCTCTGGTCCTTTAAGACCTGCTGACCTCACAGGTCAAAGGTCATTCAGAGGTCAAAGTGTTTCTGAACACATCCTCCTGCCTGATGAGACTCTTTAAAATGTTTTAATTGTTTAATAGTTGTTTTTGTTTTAATGAAGCTCCTCCTCTTCACCTGTCAGCTCACATCTGCTCACATGCATCTCAAGGTGAAGCCGTTCTGTTGGTTCTGACCCGCGGGGCCCGAGACACAACGCAGAGCCGCTGGGGCCACGTCAGGCTCCACCCGAGCCCCACCAGAGCTCCACCCGAGCCCCACCAGGCCCAGTCAAGCTGCTGTACAGAACATGAACACCCGTCAGCAGAACACACTTTATTTAACAAAGACTGAACTGAACACACATACAGCTCTGTGCGCACACACACACACACACACACACACACACACACACACACACACACACACACACACACACACACACACACACAGTTTGTGACACTCAGCAGGCTGCTCTCCACCTCTCGCTGCCTGAAGGCAAACATATGCTGCTCTTCCTGTCAGATTCTGGTGTGTTTAATGTTTATTAATCACCTGTCTGCGGCGCAGAGCCGACACACACACACACACACACACACACACACACACACACACACACACACACACACACAC